CACTAAACCCACACTATCTCGAAGCTCGGGCTGATTGGGCAGCACATGCAATGACTGTTAACATTTGAAAGGATACTATGGCAAAGTTATCGCTTTCCTTATTCTAACTGATTTTTTTCATGAATATATGGTTGACCTGAAGAATGCAATCTATATCACACACTTAGCTCACGAGATGAGACAAAACACAGATACTTGGTTCACTAGAACGAGACGATATTTTAATACTATTTTGAAGAAATTTTCAATTTGTCTTTTAATTACAAAAAGTAAAACAGTAAACTTTAATAAAACAATCTAATAGGTAGAAAACAATATTTATTGTTGGTTTCCTGTAGCTGTATCCATTCTAGCTACAACCGCGAATATAACACATATTTACTGTATCTGCATTACTGTAAGGGTAGGGTTAGGGTTGTGATAGGTGTAGACGTTAATAAACCATCATTTTACAGGTAGCATTTTTCGTTGTCGAATTGTACTACCCACTGTTTTAATGGAAGCACAAATCAACAGAACACGGCGACTTTAAGCCAGGTTGACTTCAAAATGCAAAGTATTTAAAATTAAAATAAAGCATTTTTACAACACTATAAGTGCGTCCCATCAGCTAATGAAAAGTTCGACACACTCGTGGTCTTCATGCTCACTTGGGCCAAACACAGGAAATACGTCACACAAGTAGTCAAGTGGACAAGTGTGGGTATTAGAACAAGGCATCAGTGTGCGACCATAAACATGCATACAGATGGAGAACCGTATCCCACAATGCACTGCCCTCACTCCTCTTCCATTCCCAGTGTGATTAACAAACCCGACGACTGAGATTTGAACACGTCTCGCTGTTAGACGCTGTATTAAACGTGTAAACAAATGCTCACGAGGTCACGTGCCTCTAGTGTAGCACGCACAGCTGCATATTGCGGCAGAAACGCTGAGAGTCGTGCTGATATCCCACGCATCCAGACTGCTTATGTCGCAGAAACAGCACGAGCAGTGTCCCAGGAGCTGGTTTATTCTGCGCGGATCAACCAAACACGTTCTCTCCGCTCTCGGTGGTTTAATTACCTGCGTTCGGGATTTCAGCGCAGTTTTCTTCGTCCATAGGGAACGTTGTTGAAGCTTCACTAGTCTGCGTGAGTGACGTCACATCCGGTCCGGAAGAGTCAAAATAAAAGCGCCGCTTTAAAATCCTTAAGAAAGTTTGAGAAAATGGGACTTGAGAATAATAAATGACGATGAAAATACATGACATTTTAGAATATATATATATATATATATATATATACACATACACACACGTGACTGTCGTTTTAGGAAAAAAAGAGCGTAAACCATTCTTATTTATTTATTTATTTAAGAGGAACATGTCTCATTAGAAAATCTTTGTTGTATTGTAATTTTATATGATGACCGATCAAACATCACTTTATTTCTTAAAATATGATGACAAACATGTCCCTTCCCAGTTCAGAAAATATTTTGAAGAGAAAAAAACAACACACATAAAGTCACATGATTTAAGTTCACTTCAAGCATCTCTCAAACTTGTGAAATAAAATCAATATTTGACTACAACACAGTGAAGCGGTTAAGTTCTGTATCTAATAGTAAATAGTATGAAGGTTTTGAAAGACTTGACACTTCAAATCAACATTTAAAAAAGGAAAATACGTGAGCTTTGACAAAAAAATTATTCTTTTATCATCTCTAAATATGAATCTAAATGCAAAACCTATAAAAGTAAGTAATTAGGTCCGAAAATACTGAGGGACGCTGCCGTGTGCTTATAGGGTTATAGTGGTAGCAGCTAGAGAAGCTCCAGCATCAGCTCCAGCAGCTAGAGAAGCTCCAGCATCAGCTCCAGCAGCTAGAGAAGCTCCAGCATCAGCTCCAGCAGCTAGAGAAGCTCCAGCATCAGCTCCAGCAGCTAGAGAAGCGCCAGCATCAGCTCCAGCAGCTAGAGAAGCTCCAGCATCTGTGATGGTCTGCTGCTGCTTCAGGGTCCTGATCTGAGCCGGCGTCACATCTTTATCTCTCTCCTCACAGCGGAGACACACACCCAGCGGCGTGCATGACACAGAAACCATGGATGTGGAGAGGCCTCCTGCTGCGTTACAGCCAGAACACACCTCTGAACATCTGTCGCTATATACACGTGTGACTGCGAGAGATGCTTGTAGAGTCTTCTAGTGGATCTGCACAACATCTGCACACAGTTTCCACTAAAATATTGTGCAGCACAACATTGCTAATAATCAGAAATGTTTCTTGAGCAGCAAATCAGCATATTAGAATGATTTCTGAAGATCATGTGACACTGAAGACTGGAGTAATGATGCTGAAAATACAGCTGCGCATCACAGAAATAAATTACAGTTTAACACATTCACATAGAAAACAGCTGGTTTATTTTTACTGTATTTTTTTTTAATCAAAATGCAGCCTTGCTGAGCAGAAGAGACTTCTTTCAAAAAACTTTAGATTGCAATGTTTTCTAATCGATGAACAATCAGCAGTGTGTGAGTGAGAGTGTGTGTGTGTGTGAGTATGTGTGTGTGAGTATGAGAGTGTGTGTGTGTGTGTGTGTGTGTGTGAGAATGAGTATGAGTGTGTATGTGTGTGAGTATGAGAGTGTGTGTATGAGTATGAGTGTGTGTGTGTGTGTGTGTGTGTGTGTATGAGTGTGTGGTAATGTGACGCGGAACTGAACATTTCACCGTGTTCGTCACGAGTAAAGCTCAAACTAGTCACTCCGCTTCAGTTCAGCTGCATAAACATCCACTGAGAAGAAATTAAAAGTTCACTCAGTTTTATTAAAAAAAGATCATTTCATTCGTTACAACAGCTTATAGACGCGACTGAATGAGCTGTACACATCCGTTTTTATACAATGTTTTACATGTAAAGCATCAATGAATAAAAACGCGAGTTAGTGGAAATTTCATGACTGATGAGAAACCAAATGTTGGTCACCTTTGAACACATCCTCGCAAAGCACCATGGGAATCAATATAAAACACCAATAATGACCAAAAACAAACTCCTGTCATGAAAATGAAACATTTAAAGTGATTCTGTAGTGAATGAATCCTGCTCACTCTTTCAAAGTGCTTTAGACGTTTTCCCACAATTCCAGCAACCGCACCAGTGACCCCTCACACACACGGGGTCAGAGGTCAAACTGAGCCGACAAACGCTCCACTGTTGATTCTTACTGCCGGTGACCATCGACTGCTTCCTGCACACTGATCCTCTCACACACACACACACACACACACTCTCACACACACTCTCCCACACACACACACACTCTCTCTCTCTCACACACACACACACACACTCACACTCTCACACAGACACACGCACTCTCTCGCTCTCTCACACACACACACACACACTCACACTCTCACACAGACACACGCACTCTCTCGCTCTCTCACACACACACACACACACTCACACTCTCACACAGACACACGCACTCTCTCGCTCTCTCACACACACACACACACACTCACACTCTCACACAGACACACGCACTCTCTCGCTCTCTCACACACACACACACACACTCACACTCTCACACAGACACACGCACTCTCTCGCTCTCTCACACACACACACACACACTCACACTCTCACACAGACACACGCACTCTCTCGCTCTCTCACACACACACACACACACTCACACTCTCACACAGACACACGCACTCTCTCGCTCTCTCACACACACACACACACACTCACACTCTCACACAGACACACGCACTCTCTCGCTCTCTCACACACACACACACACACTCACACTCTCACACAGACACACGCACTCTCTCGCTCTCTCACACACACACACACACACTCACACTCTCACACAGACACACGCACTCTCTCGCTCTCTCACACACACACACACACACACTCACTCTCTCACACACACA